AATCGCCCGCATCGGGGAGAGCATTGACAACTCCTCCATGCCGTCACTCCATTCACAGTACTCGGATATCCTCTGCCTCTCTCCCATCATGTCCCTGGCTCACGAGGAGCAGAACACGGAATCTCAGATAGGATTTCATCCCTCTTGTGTCGTAGTCAGCGTCAGCTCACTCAGGTAAGTACAGAAGACTTCAATCCCCTTCCTCCAGCAGCAACTCCCGACCGTCCTGCTCCTCATGCTCCTCACGGTCCTCATGCTCCTTGTCTTTCACTCAAAGTACCATTCAGAGGGAGGGAGTTGGTTGGGAAGGTGGGGGGGGGGGGGGGGATAGAAAGAGAGAGAGAGGCGGAACAGCTCTACCTGCTGGGAATGCTTGCTCCAACGTCACCGACAAGTGCTCCTTCAGCACAAGCAGCTTTGCCTGGTGCCGATACTCTCAGTGACGAGCAGGTGCCCGATCGCCTCGCAGCCTTACCTGCAGCTCATGCAGCGGGAGGGTCTTGTCGCTCATCAGCGACAGAAGGAGTCCCGGCAGAACCTGGAAGCAGGACGTCATGGCGGCGGGGGGGGGCTGGCAGGACGACGCACCTGCGTGACGATGGTCCTCCCCTCTTGACAGTCGACGTAGAGAAAGTTCAGTCTCGGGCCACGCTGTCCGGGGACAGTCAAGTCATGGCGTCAAGCGCAGGTCCAGACCTTGGTATCGCTCTGACTGTATGTTGCCCATGCGTTCGCTATCACCTGGAGACAGAAACTCAGTGGTTCACTGCTGGGGCAAAGATTCATCGGGAAGCAGCGATACCGACGCAGTAAGCTCCTCTCCGCTGAACGACCCTGTGTAGGACAAGAGAGACCCGCCGGTTGTGAGTAACCTGCTCGACAGACAGCACCTTCAGCCCTTGTCATGAGCGGAACACACAAACAACTGACATGGCGGACCCAGGCAACGCCACTGACGTGAGAGTCTGAGAAAGGACTTCTGGTTTAATGACGGCTGCTGGCATGTCCGCTGGGATACAGCAGAGAGAGAGCTCCCCAGGAAGAATCCGAGTCGACGCTTCCTCCCTATCGTATCCAGCGACAAACCTCTCCTAGCTCCTTGTCTTGGTCTGCTCCTCCCTTCCCTCCCCTCACTTTCCCAGTTTCCTCCTTCTTGCCCACCCCTCAATTAAAACATCTTGAGGTATGAAAGAGGGGGTGGGGTCGTGAACCTCCCAGGATTCATGCGTGGAGATAGACGTATGTGGAGCCGGATGCGACGACGGAAGACAGGATGATGATGATGATGATGATGATGATGATGATGATGATGATGATGATGATGATGATGATGATGATGATGATGATGATGATGATGATGATGATGATGATGATGATGATGATGAGGAGCAGGGAGGAGGATCAGAGGGAATAATGAGAATGGGAGCACTTGATGAACGACGTGGAAGTAGATAGTGTATCACAAGGATTGGACAGTGATTAGAAACTACGGTGCGACCGACTTCGGAAAAGAAATGGCGGGAAGAAGAGAAGCGAATCGGGTAGCAGGGTAGCATTAGAGGGAAGAAGGGGCTAGGCAGAGCAAGGGTCTCACTTGCACATGGAATGAGAGTGTTGTCGATACAAACCCAATCTGATTCGTGATCCTCCCCTCCCTCCCAGTTTCGACCTGCTTCTCGATCCAAGGCAAGATTCCCGGCAAGCAGTGGCTGCTCTTGGTTCTCTGCTTCCTTGTCTGTTCAGTGAACGGTTTCACCGCCGTTTGTATGAGTGACCTCTCCCAACCGCAAGCGAAGAAGCCCAGTAAGAGCTCTGACATCCCTTTCGTGCATCTGAGTGACTTGCGTTGAAAGGATCAGAAACGACAGACATGGCGTCAAGGAGAGTGGTGCTCCTGTTATCTTGCATGCTATCCTCCCTTACGCCACACCATTAGGTCACTTTTGTGACTGGAAACGCAAAGAAGCTGCAGGAGGTGTTGTATGATCGTTTAAGCCCGAGTCTGTTTCTTGCCCTTGCTCTCGTCTTCCTTCTCGCATCCTCGTGGAATCCTCCCTCCTCCTCCTCTCCCGTCTCTCTCCTCCTCTCCCGTCTCAACATCCTCTCAGGTCCAGAAGATCATCGGGGATGCGATTCCGATGACGAATCAGAAGATAGACCTCCCCGAGCTACAGGTGAGCTCGACACGAAGTCGGCAGCGGTCTCGTGCTCCCCTCCTTGACATTCCTCCTGTGATGGTGCAGGGCGCTCCAGAGGATGTGTCCAGGGAGAAGTGTCGACTGGCAGCAAAGCAGGTCGTTCGTTGTGACCATCTCAGTTTGCTCGCCGTCATCTGCCGCAAGTGACATCGGACGCGAAGGTCAAAGGGCCCGTTCTCGTCGAAGACACCAGCCTCTGCTTCAACGCCCTCAACGGCCTCCCAGGTGCCTTTTGGATCTTGAGCACATGGCCTTGCCGCCATGTGTGCTTGCTCGTGTTGTTTAATGTTGCTTGTGCGGATGCTTCTTGTCTTACCCCTCCATGTTCTAGGTGTCTACATCAAGTGGTTTCTCGAAGGCATCGGACATGAGGGGCTCAACAACCTGCTAGCGGCCTACCCAGACAAATCCGCCTTTGCTCAGGTACACTTCTCCCAAGTCTCCTCCCCCACCCTCACACGGCTCAGTGCATCTTCGCATTCAGCAAGGACGCGGACGATGAGGTAAGGGAGCGAGCCGTCGCTGCCAGTCACCCTCACCTGCTGCCCAGCCCAAGGTCTTCGTCGGGCGGACCAACGGCAAGATCGTTCCGGCGAGAGGAGTAAGTTCCTTACACGAGTGCCCTCCTACTGACGTCTTGTTCGACAGCCCACAGACTTCGGATGGGACCCAGTGGGCTCTTGCACTTGCTGCTGCTGGGCGTGACGGCTGACAACCTGCCGCAGGTGTTCCAGCCCGACGGGTATGACCAAACGTATGCGGAGATGGAGAAGGATCTCAAGAACTCCATATCTCACAGGTGATGGCTGAGGGTGCAGCTGCTAGCGCCTCCCCCTTGACGAGGGCGCAGGGGACGATCTCTCGAGAAGGTGAAGGAGTACTTCGCGTCGAACCCTCACCTCCTTGATAAATGACCTGTGAACTTTTCGCCCTGGCGGAAGCGTTACTTCCTAGCCAGACGGGTAGGAGACATGGAGCTTACGTTAGTTATGGCATGAAGAAATTTGATCCCAATCACACGAGTCTGTTACAGTGAGGTCGATTCGAACTCCATGAGTGTATAGAAGTGAGGGCAGCAGGCTGAAGATGTCAGAATTGTGTGTTGCAAGACCAAGCGTAGTTGAGTTACGGCGAGTGTTTTGAGGTCGCAATGGAGCAGGGGGCCTTATGGACGGTGGGCAAGGACGAGGCTTGAAGAAGATAGAAGAAGGAATGAGAGCATGGGAGAGGAGGGAGAGAGGAGGCGGTGTTGCAAGGAGGAGGGAGGCGTTCCGAAGGGAGAAAGGGACGGGGTAGGATTTGTTGCCATGGCCCAGTCGGGGGGAGTTCGGATCTCCTTGAGGAGGTGGGGGTTATAAAAGTAGGGGTAATTCGCCTCAATCAATTGGATGTACCGGTACTTTGGAGTTGCTTGACAGGTCAAAGAAAGGGTAATTACATGTTTCTGTGTGAAACGAGAAGGTGGGGGTACTTTAGTGCTGGGTGGTGTAGTGGGTGCAACGATGTCCCTTGATGGCATTTTCGGTAGTTTCGAAGAATGAAGGAGCGGAGGGAGAGGAGGGAGAGGGAGAGGGAGAGGGAGAGGGAGAGGGAGGAGGAGGAGGAGGAGGGAGGAGGAGGGAGGAGGGAGGAGGGAGGAGGGAGGAGGGAGGAGGGAGGAGGAGGAGGA